CGTGGCCTGTCAGACTAATCACTGACGTCATTTGTTCACCCATCCACCCAGGCTTTTTTAAAATGTCTTCCCCAATGCATTAAAAAATTGACATCAGCAAACCATGGATTTGAGCAGCCAACGCTTTTTTATCACCACTGAGGTTAGAGTGCTTTGCAAAACACGCAGCAACAGCACTGTGTTTTTTTCCCAGCGTCACTTACGCCATCTCCCCAAGCAGCCTCAGGCGTTGTGCGGTGGGTTGGTCACCACTACAGCACCCCCTGCACCTCTCCACATTAGCGTGCTCTAGGTCATCTGTGCCTGGAAATGTAGAAGTGTTTATTCTGAGAAGATCCTGTCAAGGATCCTCCTTAATTGCTAATGGCCTGGAAAGTGCTTCATCATTTCCCTCTGACCACATTCTACTCTTTCCAAATACAGAACAGACCTATCTGGTGAGTACTTCTCTTTTTTTCTGCCTCTTTTTTTTTTTCCCCAATTTCAGCCACAAAAAAGGTTTATATCACTGCTAGGATTGATTTTTTCTTTAAATATAACAAGAACAACTTGTTAGTGTCCTTAGACATCCAGCTATTGTTATCTTTTTCTTGAGGTGATAGGAGTAGCCAAAGACCTTTTTTATACAGCTAAATTATTTTGTTGTCCCTCTATTCCTTTTCCCCCACCCACAGTTGCTGTAGTTGTTACAAGGTTTATTTTTATTAATTAAGGTCAGGCTTTATTATTATTTTCATTAGTTATTCTTATTTCTAAGTACTATTGTCACATGGCCACTTATTCAAGGAAGTAGTTTACTGAAAGCTATTGTCTCATGCATACTAAATCAGAGTTTTTTTGAAAACTGGCAAAACTCTCTTCCTTCTACAGATCTCCCACTTAATCATACTTTTTTAATACTTCCCCTAAACAATTTCACTGTACGAAAAGGCTACAGAACACCATGCAGTTCTCTGTTACAGCATTTTTGTCCTGGGTGATGCTTATTTGTTGCTCAGTTGATCCCTAGTCTTTAGGCAACCATCAGTCCTAACCCAGTCTTCATCTGTCATAGGGACAGCTAAAAATCATTGCCTTACTTGGGCATGCCATTATTTGTAAGTTGATGAGAAACTCTCCCCAGCACAGCATATTCTTTGGTAGCCCCAGCCAAAGTCTCCCATGACAACATAATTTTCCTTTTCACACAAAGCAGAGAGGTACTTGTGAAATAAATTACCATGTTTTGTTTGGGGACCCAAGAGTATATGAGAGACCCTTCAATACCTTGACGAAATTGTGTGTCAGAGCATGTTATTTGGCTGCTAGCTCTAGAGTGTGTTTTTTAGCTTGCAACCCCAATTCACAATTGCTCTTGCCTATTCCACCTTTATCCAATGGGTTAGGCTGGTGAGCTAGCAGTTCTACGATGTGGCCATGAACATTAAAAACAGCAATTAACCACATTTCTTCCTACTCTGAGAATTCCTGTTTCCTCTTGCACCTTGCCCGGATGCAGTCTGCTGTTGAAGCTGAAAATGCTGCCTCTTCCCATCTGTTGTGATATTGGTTCAGCTTGATCATGATGCCTTTTGGTGGCTGCTTGAGCTCCTTTTCCATAGTGTTACCTTAGTACCTTCCCAGCTCTTTCAGCTGCTCTCCAAGCTATGAAATCTATACCCTCCTCTGCCAGAAGACCTACAGCATCCTCTCCTTGTTCCCATCCCAAGAGAAAGCGGCCCAAGCATTTAGATAATTCACATCTAAAACACCTCTCACAGTCTCATACATCCAATGGAAGATTTTCAATGGTGACTGGGCTTCCCTAAAGCTGTCTGTAGCCCATCCAGTTCTCCATGCAATCTTACTATTGCTCCCGGCATTAATTACCATGCGTAGCGGCTTGCCAGATGTTTTCAGGAGCCTGTCCATGCATCATCTAGGTGTGTCTCCAAGGAGACAGCGCTTCACTGTGTTCTGCATTAATTCTGACCTCTCCTCTCGAAAGGAGGGTTCTTACCCATAACCAGAGTATTTGACATACTTGATCATCATGTGCAAGTTCTGGGACACTCTGTGCCACAGGTACCTGAGAGAGCAACAACTATAAACATATAGAGTATGGTCTTCTTGAGAACAAACAAAGCTTTTGCAGCAGAGGTATGAAGCTTAGGAAAGCCAATCTCCCAGCTTAAATCTAGAAACAAGAATAATCTTCTATGCAGCTTTGGTCTGTCTTACCTCTTGGCTAAGAAGCAAAATAAACAGGTTACCAGGGAATCAAAAGTTGCTCCAGCAAAGGCTGTCAGCATCACATTTAGGTCCACCTAAGGAATCCTGAAACAGGGTAAAGTTAACTCACACAAAGCCAAATTGTGTGGAACAAGTGACAAAGGGCCTTCAGCAGAAGGGTGCTGGGTGGAAAATACAGCCTGGATGCGTCTTGACATGGAACCCCATTCAGTGAGATACATCTGTGCTTGGACTGTACTTGGGCAATAAACATTCACATTAATGCACGGACACCAAGTGAGACAAGACTTTGTCCCCTGCATGCCAAGGTCTGCTCTGGTACACTAAGGACCATCCTAACTCAGCTGCAAGATGCTCATGGGTGAGCAGGGTCAGCTGGAAAGGGTAACTGACCCAAAGAATAGGAAAAGGCCCACGCCATCCATGGCCAAGCTGCCCCTGCAACCAAGTCTTTCAGAAAGTTTAGGCCAAACAAAGATTTTTGAATGGGCGGGGGTTTAAGGGTAAATAAGATACTATTATTCCCTGTGAGATGAATACAGACCAGCACTTGTTCAGAAAGAACAAGTAGCCACGACCTGGGTCTTTGCTAGACAATTTTTTCTGTTGCTGCTCCCTGAGCAGGTGCTGCCAAGAAGTGTCCTGGAAAAGGGACGAGGTTAGGGATGTGAGAAGCAACACAGCGCTGAGCAGTTCCTAGATGCCACAGTTCCCAGCAGGGCTCATGGTGGAGAGAAGCAGGCTAGATACTCCCCAAGGAATGGAGAGGAGCCCACAGAGAAGAGTTAATAGATGGAAGGTCCACATCTCCTCATATCCAGCATCAAAATGTGGGGTCACCACTGATGGACAGGTAGATGCAGGGGAGATGGTCCGGCTAACACTGGAGGTCTTGGGCTGTGCTCCCCATGCTGAGGAACTGCTGAGGCAAAGCATCAGTGTTGCGTGTCCTGCCAGTGAGATGTCAGGGGCTGTCACACTGGTGGGGGAACAGAGCTTATTGCTCTCTGGTGAATTCTATCACCAGCAGCGTCTCGCAGACGTGGGTGGAAGAGATCTCAGTTTCACTGCAAATGAAGTTATGAGAAGCAGTGTGGGACTGGGGTCCCCATGAGTCCCGGCGGCTGGGCATCTGGCAGCACCAGCTGCTCCTCTGGGCAATGACTACTTGAGGCAGAGATGTCAGTCCGTCTGTGCTTCATGCTTGCAATCCCTCAGGGTACATGCTCTACGGTCCTGTGGGTTTCTTAAGCAGTACCGAGAGGCCAAGGTACATATGACATCGATTGCACACGGGGGAAGCCAGACTTAGCCAGCCACTCACAGAGATCTTCGCAACAGAGAAAGAGCAGAAATGGCTGCAAAGACACCTACGGGAAAGGGGATTTGCATGAACCAGAAAAGCCTCCAGGCAGGATAGAAAGTGATCCCTGATTTACTGCATGTGAGGCATCATCACTCGAAAGAGAAAGCCCAGATTAAAGTATTTCCTCTGGCTTAGGTCTTTTAGGAAGAAAAATAAAAAGGCAAGAGGGAAAAAAATGGAAATAGCCGGGCAAGGCAGCGTGGAGGCAAGTCCCATGGTGAGGGCCGTGTCTTGGGGCAGGTGCTGAGGCACACAACTCCCATCCGCCCGCACAGCCACTCGCAGCCATGGCCAGGGGAGCACACCTCTGCTGCTATCCAGCACCCTGCTGCTCCCGTGAAACGCTCCCCCGGCTTCCCCCGTGAGAGGCGAAGGTGGCACTCGCGA